CCCCCCTTTTCCCTTCCCCGCCACGGCACGCACACACACAAACACACACACCAGCGTACGGCAGCGCTGCCAGTCGTCTCGTCACTCACTCCACTCAGTCCCGGGGAAGCCGCTGACCCGTCCGGACGGAGCCGCCACCAGTCCGCCTGTCCGCCCGGCTCGCCGTCGTCCTCGTCCTCGTCCTCGTCCTCTCGTCGACGGCTACCCCCCAGCGTGCGCCGGCTGCTGATCGCGTCGCGCTGTCCCGGAGCCTCTTAGTAGTGCGGGCGTCGGAACATGCTCCGGCCGCGGAAGAAGCTGACCGTGCTGCAGGCCGCGCCTTGAGCCCCACCCCCCTCCCTCCCTACACCCCTGCGCCTTCTTGACCCCGCCCTGGACTTGACCGGCGGCTCCCCCTGCAGCGCTCACCAGGCCGACCGCCGTCCAGCAGTGTCGCGACGTCCGCCTCCCCCCGCCCGAGTGAACAGCGGCAGGCCGTCACCTCACCGCCACCGCCATGGACGCGGACAAGAAGGAAAAGCTGGAGATGGAGAAGAAGGGGAAGGACGACCCCAAGCAGCAGGACGGCCAGGACCCCGAGAAGAGCCCGGCCGACGGCAAGGTATATTGGCGGCCGGCGCCGTCTGGTCTCATGTCGTGGCCCCAGGAACCCCCCCGACGTACACCGTCACGACGGCGTGCTCGTGTCGTGAGCGTTATCGTCGGCACTCGGCGCAGGACACACAACACACACTCCCAAACTGGGACACCGGACACCGAACACCGGACGCGCCGCCGGTGCGCGGGCCCGGGGGCGTCCGCGCCGTATCTGCGGTCTATGCTAAACAGACTGGCCGGGGCCGGGCGGGCCATGGACACGGAGTGCGTCGCGCAGGACGGATATTTAGCGAGTGCTATGTGCGAGAAGCGATTTCAAATCGCCTCCCGTGAAAGGTTGATTTTTTTTTTCCGAAGTATTTTGACTTTTTAGCAGAGGCAGAATTGTGGTCGCAGATTGGTGAAATTTTTGGCTCACGCCGTCGAGACACGCCCGCGTATACCGCACATCGGTCATCGCTGATTATATACGCATCCCCCCGCGAGCGTGCCGTCGGCCACATGACATGACCAGCGGGACGGGCTAAGTAGTGACTATGTCATAGTCGGCGGCGAGCGCGCGGCCCTGGTGCCTGCCCGGCTAGCCGCGCTTTGTGATAAGCCCTGGGGGCGTACTAGAGCCTCGGTTAGGATAAGGCAGCAGCGCTAGGACCTCAAACTTATCACTGCGTCGACGCTCACAGCATATAATCGGTGCGCTCCATTAGGATTGGAAACCTGAAAAGTTTCCGGAAAATTTCAGGAAAAACGAAAAATTTCCGGGAATAAATTGAAATTTTCGCAGACTTTGGAAATTTTCAGTATGCCTACTTTGCCTACAATTAAGGCATTTTTCGGAAAATTTGCGGAAAACTTTGCAGATTTCCAACCCTACGCTTCACCGCCGCCGCCACGCCCACCGCGTGCGCATAGTAAGGGGCGGCTGACATAGGGCGCGACGTAGGGCAAGTTGCCTACATTGAGGGGTTTTGTAGCTCAAATTGTCCACCTTTTAGGCGGCTATCTAGGGCCGACAAGGGGGGGGGGGGCTGGTCCGCCGGCGCCGCCGTCACTCTCCTCGTCGCCGTCCTGCAAGGGCACAAACTCCCCCCCCC